TGCATAAAATTTTCCTTTTAAATTTTTTATGTAAGCCATTTCGATGGGAAATTCAATTCTCTAAATAATTTTTCCTATGAACTATAGTGAAATTTTGCTTCGTTTTCGAGCTACAATTAAAAAACTGAAAAGGGTGCATTTTCACCCCTATCTCCAATTTCCACCCTCTAATTTAATAGCACTCCGCGGTTTTTTCATCTAAAATCACACTTTGAACGGTTCATGCAATAAAATTGCTTGAGCGTTATAGTTCCTTTTAACCCTGTTTTTTGGATATAATCAATAGCCTACACCTATTAATCCCGATAGTTTGAGGGGTATACCTAATTGAAGGAAAAATTAAAGTATATTAAAACGTGGCAATTTAACACCCACGAGTCCAATATTTATACTTAAATGTGGTAATACTTCTACCCAAATCAAAACTGAACAAGTCCTTGTTTTGGACATTGACAGCTTCTATGGACAGTTTGTGCCATCTTCAAAACAATAGGAGAAGTATACATTTTATTCTAGGTTTCTAGTTCTTCCAGAAAACTCACGAGTTCTAGATCTTAGAATTCAAATGGCAATGCAGATGCCACAAAAAATAAAAGTGGCTCAGAAATAAGCCTATTTCGAGGCGTTATTCGGTTTTTATTATTGCAACTTGTCTTTATCCTGCCTTTTTACATTCCATTTTTATAAAATGTAAAGTGAAGAAAGCTTTGTTTCGGCTGCAGAAGGTAGTGTGGGTTAATCAAAATTGAACAAGTCATTATATTACTGAGGGCAAATCTAAACAAGTCCATTCTTTCTTATCAAAACTAAACAAGTCCTGATATTTCTTGCAAATAGTTTGAAGATGAATCACTATTATTTGTTCATTCTTGGTTAATGTGGTTATCAAGATATTACTAGCTAAATTCCCAAACATATTTTTTTAGAGCAAATGGAATTGCCCTGAGAAAGAAGTGTATATTTTGAAAAATTGTATATCTTGGACTTGTCAAGTTTTGCACGGGAGGTCCTCATCAAATATGCTAAAAGTCTAAATAACACAAAAGGATAATACAAAAATAGATACACTAGTTGAAAATTTATAGGATGTACAAAAGGATGTTATTATGAATTCAATATAATTTTAATTGTTATAAGGTATCAATCAATAAAATTGTAAATAGTAGTGAAGAAGTGTTTTAATTTCAACTTTTCAAGAAATAAGAAAAAAAATTATTTAGGAAATCATGATTTCAAATTCTTGAAAATAACAGTTTTGTTATTCTAACTGTCAATTAAGGTTAGTCAATCACCTTTTTAACTTAATTTGTTGCCATACACAAAAATAAACAGCTGTTTAAAAGCTAATTAAAAAATATAGAAAGCAAAAATTAACAAATACTTAGGCAAATAAAGTTTGTACATAATTAAATAAATAAACAAATTATTATAGCAAATGCTGAAATTGTCTGTCATTTTCTTCTGTTACTCCAGTCGAATTAGAGTTTAATCATAAAAATTATTAGTAAACATGTTATTGAACTTTATGACGGAGAAGGGTATGTAGATTGATGATATCAAAAAAGTAATTAGAAAGAAGTAACGCTAAGTTGGTAAAATGCAAATAAGTTGCAAAAATACGTGTTTTTCATTTTTTTCTACTTCCAGGAAAATCCAGATGACCTATCAGAAAATTAGTTATTTTATGTTATAGGCAAATAAATTACTACAATTTAAGGTATCTGTTATCATATTTCACCAGTTTGTTAAGTGTAAAATTAAGATCGAACGCGGAAAAATAAATTCTCGAAAATTGCACATTATTATTGCATTGATGAAATTTATGGAAAAGACGGTCAATCCAAAGACCAACATGTGTAGCAAAGGCTGATTCAATTGACCGCGAAATTGTGGCTACAGGTATTTGTTAATTAATTTCGTTCGTTTTTTGCAACTAATTGTTTAATTACTAAACGGTAATTTTAGAAGTTAATATCGTAGATATAAGTAGTTGATCCAAAGAAATGCATCGAAGAAGAGAATAATTCAAAAAATTAAAATTAAGTAGCCCTTTGCAACTAACAAAGTAGGATGTGCAAAACAGCGTTATAGACAAGTTGCTCAGGAACTCGCTCTTTTTGCATTAAATAGAGCTTATTTTTACGGTAATTAAAAAAAAAGAAATCACCTACGCTTCTTTGTTCCCAAGAGAGCTTTTTTTATAACGGTAATTATTAATTAATTATTGGATGTATCGGACCGGTATTTTAGAAACAATTAAAGAAAAGATGAAACTTTTATTTTCAGAATGTTTTGCATTGGTAGTTCATGTAATAAACGCGCTATCAGCAGTAAAAGTTAACGATATAAATTTTTGAAAAACAGTACTTCTTCAGACAATTGCAAAACCAATTTCGGCACTCCTTTCCTACCCACCAAAGAAAATATGATCTTTTTTTAACTTGGCAATCGATTAAAAGAAGACATTTTTTAAATCAGTAGCAGATACTCAGGTTCAACAATCAATGGTACAGATAAATGAACTAATGTTTCAGTAGTAAGACTAGGAATATAGAACTGACTCTTCTTTCACCTACACTAAATATTTATTTTCCACATTTACTTGTTCTTTTCGCAAAAAGTGGAAAATGCAGTTTGTGTACTTTGCTTTTACTTCAACAATATATTATTTAGACTGAATGGCAGAAATTGTAGCAATTTATATTATATTCGTACTATGTTCTTGTGCATAATGGCATATTTGGAATTAAAACATATTCTTTGTGCAGGTGCCCAGATTAGGTACACTTTTTTCACCAACACAGAAAATTACCTTCTGAGATATCAGTAATGTTAACAATTCTATTAATCTATTTACTTACTTGGAAAACTATAAACAGAATACGATTCAAAGAATAAATAGAAATACAATTCACTGGAACTTACCATACGTAAAGTCGAGAGTTTGAGACATATCGTGAGACAAGAACTGCCCAAACTGCATTACCATAAGAGTGTAGTCGAGATTTGGAACATCCTTCTCCGTAAGCAGTGTTGTGCTTATTAATCTAGCACTAGGAAGTGCTTCTTCATTTAATTGAGAAAGTCGAGGTGACCATATTCCTTACATAAGAATAATAATCATATTAGACCAAAAGGTAGTGATAAATATATATTCATATATCATACCATCTTCATAATCAGGTGGCAAGAGCCTTGAAAATGGAGACAAAGGTGTACCCCAAGTAGGATAAAGGTGGTTGTTACAAGCTCCATCAATTCTACGATATTTTTCGGATGTCAATGGGCAAAGTGGTCTTTCTAAACAGTCGTGACCCAAAGGGGTTTCTCTTAAGTCTTGATCCACCATTCCCAGTTCTAATTGCAAATTGGAGATTCCTTCCCTTCAAAAATATGTAAATGGTTTAGGGTTCCTTCTCGAAAAAAGAAGTTATCCAAAAACTATTTGTTTGAGCCTTTTTGAAAAATCATTTGTTATTGGATGGGGCGATTTCTGATTAAAATGAAACAAATATTTCGAACTACTGAAAAGTATTTAAAGTGCATATTTTACTATAAAAACAAAGTGTAATTCCATTAGAGCGTGCGTGTGGTTAATACTGAAATAATTTATTGCAAGATATCTGAAGTTGGAAAATTCTGGAAAACCTATAAAATAAGCATTTCCCTTTTCTGACAATAATCAAGATGAAACTGTGTATTAAATTCGAGGCACATTATATTTTTAGATCATTTTTACAAAAAAAAATATTTAAGCTAAGTATATTAATAAAAACAGTGACAGTAATGTTTAAAATAATCTACAATCATTCTGATTTTTTACTTGAATGTAGGCAAAAATGATCGTGAATTTTTATAAATCGTAAAATATAACTTGTATCTGAAAATTTACAATGCACAAATACGAAAAACAATAGGTATGCCTATATAGAAAATGTTGTACAGCAAAAGAAAGGAATAAACCGGTGACTTTGGATAAAACTCCTGAAACAGGTCAATTTTTATTACGTTCTGCGAAATAATTGTTTTACATATGACGTCATCTGTGTAACAGTTATGACGTTATCAATGTTTTTTTTAATACAAATGTCTTTTGAAAGGTCTTGTATTTATAAAAAAAACATCGATCATACAAATGATATCGCAAGTAAGATAAATATCTCGCAGAACACACTTTTAAAAATAAAAATTGACCTGTTTCAGGATTTACGAAACAATGAATTTACACCATACTGTATATTGAATATACCAGAACTTATAATTTATACCGGACAATACGATTAACAAAACTTTAAACAATTAAAAATGTATTGGGTTTCTACCAGAAGTAACCGTTTAACATTTTTATTTTTTACTTTACAGGGAAAAGTGTCCTATAGAAGTTGTAAATCCTTTGCACGTACCCGAAAAATAAATTTTTCTGCTAATACTATTAAAATTAAATTAAATTGTAATAAAGAGAGACCGATAATAATTAAATTGAAATGCATGAAAAAACCTATTTTTTATACGGGTTGTTTTTGATGTTACACTGAAGATATTTAGAGATATTTAAATTTTTTGAATTTTTACGATGTATTTTTTTTTTTCAAACAATAGTGGTAAACAGGTTCTAATTTTCAAGGTGTCATAAGTCATACGTCTTTTTTCAAAAATGAATTTTTGAAGCCCTCACAGGACTACACCACATTTATAGGAAACTTTTTAAGTTCCCCTAAAGTCAACAATAAAAAAAATACCGCGTTGATTATATCCGGTGTTATTAGTTCGAATTATAATAACGAGTCGAAACAGAGCTCTGCTGCCATCTATTAGGAGGTAATATAAGTTTACATGATGCGTTTTAGCAGGCAGTATTTTTAGTAAAGATTACTATTTCATTATTTAGATAACATATAAAAGTTCAACTTGATTTTTAATATTTTTACACTTGTAAGCCGTCTATATATAAAAACATAGATAAACCTCATTACATAGGAATACATCTAGAATAACATAATCTTCTAAACTGATTTCCTTCGTTATCTACATTAAATCAGATTAATTTAGAAAAACCAAGATTCATATTTTGATATCATGGAAAAAGGCAATTGAAAAGGTATAGCACACTCCTACAGGAATGTGAATAATATATTCACCTACGGTGATGCACATAGTTATAACACGAGAATTGGAGGTGACCTCAGACTTCCCTACCCAAGATTGAAAGCCACTCATTGTCATTTAAATAAGGTAGATGATAGTCTGTAAATTTACGGAACATCATAGGAATATGAATGTGAGATCGATTGGATATAGGAAATTTTATGCATTAGCTAAAAACTAATACTAATATTATTTTATTTATTTACATTCTCACCTATCTTTGAAAGCCTTCGTAGCAAGAGCAATTTCCATTGCCTTCGTGGACATGTGCGTCACATCCGTTAGATCTGCCATATTAAACCTCCTAGAATTACGATAGTGGCCATAACTAGCTGATCCTGGATCAAGAATTGATCTCCTAGAAAACAGCAGTTGGACTTCTTTAGAATGCAGCTCCGCAAGTTCATGTCTGGTTCTCCTGCTGACGGCCCTCAACGCCGCTAAATCTAACTTTTTAAGGTGATGGTGCCGGCCTTTGTCCTTGAACGGTTCTGTTTAGATACGTCACAGTATTTAATTACAATACATTTATATAAGTTTGTAAAGCAGTCGACAAATTGAAAAATAAGGTCATACGTGCATCATTAAAAAATGACACGTATACGAGGTTTGATCAAAAAGTAACGAGAATTGTTAATTTTCTCAATAAGTATTTATTTAGTCTTCAATTTTTATCCCATCCCCTTTTCTCATCTATAGCTGAAAAACATTTTCCTTTGAGTATCTTTTTGAGTTTGGGAAGTAGGAAAAGTCACAGGGGTCATGTCCGTAGAATAGGGCGGTTGCGGCATCACAACGATGTTGTGTTTCGTCAAGAACTGTTGGATAAGCAAAGCTACATGCATTGTCGTGGTGCAAAATCCATAAGTTATATCTCGTGTTCTTGTCTTTTTCTCCTGATTATCTCACGGAAATTGCGCAAAACTTGTAGGTAGTACTCCTAGTTAATTATACGACCAGGTAGTAAAAATTCGTGATGAACTACTCCGTTGTAGTCGAAGAAAACGGTTAGAAGGATCTTCATATTGACCAGATCTTCGATTTCCTCTTGGTCTTCCCGAAAAAAATGGTACTATTGATAAATTCATGACAGTGACATAGTATCGCCGCCAAAGTATTTCTTTGACATTTTGAATGCTTAGCTGCACTTAATTCCGTTTTTAACACAAAATGTCAGACATTTTGCCACACAAAAAATCGACAAAAACATACATGTCTTACTGATTCGCACGCTAAAGACAGACTAAGCGTGTTATCTGCCTAAACATTGACAGGTACGTTACTGACAGTGGTAATATACAAAAAAAGAATCAACTTGATAAGAAAGATACAATACGTGCAATTTGAAAATTCCTGTTACTCTTTGAACGAACTTCGTATACGGGTGTGCCATTTAACTCTCCCGCTGCCAATATCTCCGAAATAAAGAAATTTATTTTAGTTCCGGAAACTGGGGTTGTTAGGTCCCTCGAATAGCTTCAAATTGCAATTAGAATTGTTAGTTCAAATCTTTCTGTATAGATGGCGTGGCTATACTAAAATTGTTTTGAAACATCCTTAAATTTTGTAACTTTATCGCAATATTTACTTGTTTTCGAGATATGTCGACTTCAATATGCAATGTATGATATTATTTTATTATTATTATTTTATTTAAATCACACTGAGACAAAATATTCTTTTGAAATATTGTTATAATGGTTCCTACTAACAAAAAATAAATTATACAAAGCAAATGATTTATGGTTCCAGCAAGATGGAGTGAACCCCATTATACCAATATTTTAAAAGAATAATATGTTTCAATATGATTTAAATAAAATAATGGATTTTCCTGTTACATCGTATACTGCATATTGAAGTCGACATGTCTCGAAAACAAGTAAATATTGGGAAAAACTTTATATTACTAAAATTACTTAAAATTTAACGATCTTTCAGATCCACGTTTCAGGAATCAAAACATTTTTTAGTGTCGCCACGCCATCTATACAGAAGGAGTTGAACTAACAATTCTAACTGCAATTTAAAGCTATTCCAGGTACCTAACAGCCTCAGTTTCCGGAACTAAAATAAATTTCTTCATTCCGGAGATATTGGCAACGGGAGTGTTAAGTGGCACACCCTGTATAATCTTTAACAAGTTTTGTACGATTACTGCAACGTGTGGATCAGTTTCGACGTTACTTGGGGATTTCTCGTATTTCTCTAGGAGATGTATGGAGGTTGATCTATCTCGATCTTAGAGAAACATTTAATGGCAAAAATCGCATCACGATATCTTGAACTGTTTGAGATACAGGCCGTGCTTATTTTTGGAAAATATTTGATTTTTGTGAGTCAGTTTTTTGTTAATATTCAGTTTAACATTATTTAATGAGACTCCTTATACATATGGTTCTTGAATTTTGAAATATACGTAAAATTTCCTTTTTTGTTATGTTGTATATAAAAAAATGTTTGATGTGAAACACCAACAATATAATATAATTTAATGGTTGTATCTAATATTGCAAAAAAAACTTAATGGGATACTGTGTCTGGGTCTGCGAGGACACGCATATGAAAGGAAATTTAAGTAGGTTTTAAAATAGGAAAACATTAATAAGAAACATGGTGCTGGAAAAATATCTAAATTTTTACGAAAAAAATTTCACACATTCAAAAACTTCCAAATGAAAAACATCTAGTATTTCTTAAACGAATAAAGAAACATCCTGGTGCCAAATATAATTAGTAATAATAAAATTTTTGTGAGGCTTAGTATATTTACCAATACTATAAAACTGAATTAGAGATATATTTTTATGTTAAAGGTTAAGCAGTATCATATATCCTCATTAATGGTTAGGTATCTGAACTTATTATTTTATGTCTACCAATTACCATTTATTAGCATTTGATTTAGCATATTAAGAATATGTGAAAATTAATATACAAGGCTACTAAAAACTGAATGAACAGAATGTACAGCAAAAGCGAAAATAAATTAGATAGTTCTAATAAATATGTCTTAAATGTCCTTACTAAGATAAAGGTTTATAGTCCGTTGTAATAAAAATAAAAATGTTAAAATAAGATTATGAGAAAAAACACAACAGAAATTATTGGTTATAGGTAACAACAAAGTGATCAAGAATTGTAAAATATGGAATGATACAGAAAATACTTCAAAACCCTCATTTACATGACTCTGCATTATAAAAAATTGTTAATAATTTCTTCAATTTATATAGTAATACAGGGTATTAAAAGGAAAAATTAAATTAGAGGTATTTATCTCACTTTCCGCCATTCTACCTTTTCTACCCTAAACATGTCTACAAAGCTCTTCAATCGCCCTGAATATTGATAATAATTTTTTTTAAGATACCTCGATACCTTGGGTTTCACTTAAAAAAAATAATAAGTTATGTAGCGTAGAAGTGTTACAATTTATTGTTTAATATACTGAAGCTTAAATTATACTTTATTAAACCAAGAAAGTCAATAAATAATTACTTTAATGTCTTACCTGTGTGATTTTGTCCAGTCTTGCAACAAATGCCTTTGCTTCCTCCAACCAACTCACAATATTTTTTTGATGTCAGCCTCACATGTGCTGGGCAACTTATGAAGTTAACACACACAGAACCACCGGTACAGCTCCCTGCATAAGGCCGCGTATGTCTAGGTGCAGGAGTAAAATGTTGTTTTTTGGTAGTAAATACATTGGGAATGGTACTGTGCAACAAATGAGACCTTCCGACACTATGATTTACAGCTACATGACTAGATATTTGTTTAATATAAAATATTGTTATTAGTAAACGGTTTAACCACTTCATACTTCAAAAATTCAAATAAAGTAGTGTACGGCCGCAGCTGTTTTATCATTTTCTGAAGAATCAAGAACTAAAGTTTTTTTTAGTTGTTTCATTTTTTGTTTATAGTATTTTTAGTTTATTTTTTGTTTTGAATAGGATAATGCCAATTGTTGAACTGGATTTAATGTATAAAGAAATCTAGAACTGGAAAGTAACCTGGTTTACTTGCCGTAAGATGTCCTGACTTCCCCAGTCCATAACAATATTAACCAATTTTATGATAAATAACATCTACAGTTTCGCTTGATGACTTGAAACATGAATATCAAATGATGACACCATTGCTATTTTTTTTTAATGGATAATTACTAATTTATTAATAATATTCTAAAGAATCCATACAACAAAAATTAATTGTTAGCAATTTAAAAAATCAATGGCATTATCTGCAGGTTTCCAATTATTAATATGTCGATTAACATAAAATGTATAATATTAACGCAGCTTTGTTTTCACTAATGTAATAGCCTGGAGACTTATAAATCTGGAGACGGTGTATACAGGGTATCCCACAAACTGCTGGGATCACAATAAACTGATTAAAAAAAAATCAAAATCGTTTTTTTCTTAATAACTTCGACGATTTTTGAGAGACTTGACATGGATATTATTTACATATTCCACTGCAATTATTACGAGTTGGTAGAGATTTGTTCACAACGCAAAACAATTGATAAACGATGTTGCCAACATGCCTTAATTTTATTACAGATCATACGTTTAAATTGCCTTCCCGATTATTTTTGTATGTACCTATTATTTTTTTTAACATAAACAATATCCTTCGTACTATACTAGAAAAAGAAATTTATCGTATTACATCTAGAGGTCGTGGTGGTTATTAACAGGAGCATTTTAATATCATCCAAAAATTTGTTGTTTAATTACTAACGCACACTTCTACAATAATGAGGTGAAACATTTAATTGCAACCACATATATGGCTATGGCAACATAAACTTTTAAATGATAAATTATTTCCAAATTGTTGGAAACGCTGAGGCTAAATTGCTTCTGTTAGGTGACCACCAGGATCCCCAGATTTTAATCCAATGGATTTCTTCTAATACGAAGTATATTGTATATGCTGAAGAAATTTAGATATAGAACGCTCATGGCAGCTATTCAATTTTGATAGGGAAAAGGCATCTTTCGAAACATAAGATTTTGAAAATAAATAAAATCGCATTTGCGTCAATGAGGGAAGAGAACACTTATTAAATTAGTTTTTTCATATAAAAACTAGTCAATCGATCGAAGACCGAAAAAAAGAAAGCACACTGTATTGTTAAACATGACACTTCTGTATGTAATCGTTATATTTTTTTCAGAATTAGTTTAATAACTTTAGCATTTGTTTGACATTATATTAGAAATATTGTTTAAAATGTGTTTTATATTTTGTTATATCTGTATGCTTCTGTCCTGGTATTAATTTCCAAAATTCTTGTTTTAGCTTTAGACCAGGCAATAAAGAACGATTTACCCCAAAATATCTAAATTTTCGCGGCCTGGTCCGATTTTAATGCGGTTTTTTGCATTTTGTTCAGAAAGACCGTCGGAAAAAAGTCCCGCCTTTTTTATTATCAGGAAGTGGCGGAAATGCATCGCGGGTGCATAAAGTGCATCTAGAAGTGCATCGCATCCGAGAAACTTGCCAAAGTGCACGAAATACCGCAAAAATTGGTACGGGGGCTCGTGGATTGCAATGACTGGAAAAATGGATCTCGGGGGTTTTCGCGGGTGCTGATTCCGAATTCGAGGGTGAAAAATATCCCCTGTGCTCGTGGAGGTGGAGGGGAGGGCGGGTACGAAATCTAAAGTTCTGGAAATAACTGGGAAAATGTATCTCGGGCGTTTTCGCGGGTGCTGATTCCGAATCTGAGGGTGAAAAATATCCCCTGTGCTCGTGGAGGGGTCGGTGGTGGGTAGGGGGAGGGTTATAATATTCATGAACTGGTAACATGGAATAAAGAGTATTTTGGGGATAGAAAATTATAACGTGTGATGTTAGTGATATATTAGGACAATCAGGCCCCGGGGGAAAAATGAGAAGAGCACGAAATTCGATAATATTCTGAGATGCTGCATTTCGAAATTCCCGCCGTATACGCTCTCGAATCTCAGGTATACGGATGCGCGCAGCTGTCTGGCGGTACCTATACATAACAGTGGAATTTTTAGGGAGGAGTCCCAGAAAAGAGGAAGAGACAGATGAAGTGAGGATGCGCACATACATGTATATTGTATACGCAGTAAGTGAAATCAGAAATAGTCATCGGACGCATTTGGCAGGGTCAGATTCGGAATCAGCACCGGCAAAAACCCCTGAGATCCATTTTTCCAGTAATTTCGAGAACTTTAGATTTCATACACCCCCCCCCCCCGTGCCCCCCGCACCCCCCAGGCGCCCCCACCTTCACGAGCACAGGGGATATTTTTCACTCTCGAATTCGGAATCAGCACCACCCGCGAAAACCCCCGAGATCCATTTTTCCAGTCATTTCAGGAACTTTAGATTTCATATCCCCCCCCTACCACCCACCGCACCCTTCACGAGCACAGGGGATATTTTTCACCCTCAAATTCGGAATCAGCACCCGCGAAAACCCCCGAGATCCATTTTTCCAGTCATTCGGAGAACCTTGCAATCCACGTGCCCCCCGCGCCCCCCAGGCGGCCGGAAGTCGCCCCCCGGGGGATCGGGTGGACTGGATATATGCATATTCGAATTCTGCGCCCCCCAAAACCCCCGAGTACCAATTTTTGCGGTATTTCGTGCACTTTGGCAAGTTTCTCGGATGCGATGCACTTCTAGATGCACTTTATGCACCCGCGATGCATTTCCGCCACTTCCGGATAATAAAAAAGGCGGGACTTTTTTCCGACGGTCTTTCTGAACAAAATGCAAAAAACCGCATTAAAATCGGACCGGGCCGCGAAAATCTAGATATTTTTCTCTTTATTGCCTGGTCTACTTCATCTCCAAAACTATGCAATTAATTTTTTAAAAGATAAAATAATCTCGAACAAATGATGTACCTACCACAGTTAAAAACAATTAATAGGCGTATTTACAAAAAGTAGGGGAGGATAAAAGGTCAGGACAACCCGTTTTTTCTTTGTTTTTAGTAATGAACAAATTTCTATAAACTCGTAACAACTTCAATAAAATAAATAGCAACCGTGTTAAATTTAAGGGCAACACCTCGAAAATAAAATCAAAGTTATTAAGGAAAAACGATTACGAAACTTCTTTGTTAACGCCATGTATCTTTTAAATGAATAATATTAGTTGAATAAGGAATAGACTTTGTCTACTATAGGCAGAGTTTTATTTCGAGACATTTTAAAACAGTATTTTATAGTATTTAATAATTATCACGCATAATTTGAACAGAAGCATGGTGTGCCCTACATTTACAAATGTTGATCCAGTGTAGAACAAGAGGTAGTGTTTGCAGAATCATCCGTCAGTGAAGGTCGTTTCTTCCTTCTGTCTATGTATACCATGTTGGGCTCATTCAGAATTAGTACATCTTCATACACGTGCAAAGGCTGAAAGTGATATATGATGTTTATTAATAATTTCGAAAGTATGTTCTGTATCTTGGTTTTCAGGTAGCAATTGCCAATTGGTAAACAATTTCCGGATTGCCACATCATGTGTTTAGGCTAGTTAACATTTCGATACATACCGTTCTCCCCTTCAGAAGAAACTCTGAAAATGAACATTGCTTTCTGTAGTTTTTGTGTATATATTTTTTGCTGTGTGCTGATCAGTAACGTTCCGGTGTATCGTTTGAAATCATTGGCTTGCGACATTCCCGTTCATGATTATTTTTATATTGGAGTCTATTCCAGTTGAAATCATTTTGATTTTTTTTTAGTTTCCATTATTTCTTTCTAGAACCTTAGTCAAAATATTTTTTCTGTGTTTTCCAACTTCTCGTTCATCTCCGTTGGTATCGATTCTTTAAGCTGGTGGTAGAGTGGCAGTAGATACAGTATAGACAGAGTACAGAGATGGCTACTTTTATCTTTCTTTGGGTGTTACAAACAGCAATAATATTGTTTCCTTATAAGACAGTACATCTTTGCAAATAACGTTGTTGGCATATATTTCTTCTTTTCTACGATCTTAAGCATCTTCCTAACAACTTGTTCAATATTTCCAGTATATATCCGTTTCCCCTGATGACTAACTTCTGCCTCGTATATTGTGCGTGCTCGATACACTAAAGTGTAGATAATACTTTGTTCCCGAGCAGATTATAGTGAGACTCAAAAAATTCAGATACCTATTCATAAATAGGTTTATAATTACTTGGAATTTACATATGACTCGTATGTAAAAATCAAAGACCGGAATTTTTCTCCCGTTTCAGAGTTCCTCCTGAAGAAGAGACTGATATGTCTCTTGAGTCAGTTCAGATATTGATTTGCTTTTGAAATAAACAATTTAAACAAACAATCGTTGTTAGTCGAGGATTTTAGTCCTTATATTGGACACAATATTAGGCAAAACATTTTTTTTCTTACCACAAACTTCTTTAAGGGAACTAACTGAGGTGGTGGTAGTTTATTAAAGGGTTCCCTAATTTTTTTGCTCTGCAACATTAACAGGATAAACCACATGTAGTCACTCCTTATGACCATTTGTTCCGTTGTTTTATCCATATCTATTAATTTATCAAACCACGTCTGTATCATTTTTCTTTCTAGAAGCAAATATTCTTAGCCATTTGAGTTATTAGATAAACTTTTACTTACCACTGGGATTTAAAAGCTGCTGTAGTGCTTTCGCGAGTCTTGTGTTATAATAAAAATGTTCATTCAGTGCTTTTATTGGGTTCGACATTATCCTAATACTTAAAATTTACACCAAGCGCTATTTTAGGTAACGGAAATGGATCATTTGTGACAATTTTGACACTGGGATGATGATGACGATGACACATTGTTTTGACGTATTGACAATCGCTTTTATTGCTTTTCATAATAGTCCAGGCGATATCTGTTTCGGGTTGGGTAAAACGCATATGATCGGAGATTTTTGTGTTAACGGCTTCTAAATAACATCAGAAATGATAATTTTTCTATGCAAATATAAAAAACGTGGGCTTAATTTTTATTGCAAAAAAGTATAAAAAAACAGCAAAAAAATTCATTTTTTTCTTGGATTTCTCGGCGACAACTTAGCAACTATTCATTTTAGACAAAAATGGAAAAGGAACAAAAGTTTTGTAATTAAATTTTAATCAAGATAGAGCAAGTTGCAATTCGAAAATATAATTATTGTTATTGCAAAAATCGGAAAAATCATTTAAAATATTGCAAAAAATGCTAGTTTATTTGTCAATTTTTTTCAGACACTTGAATAATACCTAGGATCTTCATACTTTTCCCAATTAAACTTCTTAGTGCATAGAATCATCACACCAAATTTCATCCAATTCGGTTCGATAGTTTTTACATAATAATTGTTTAATTTTTTTATTTTTTTTAAATTAAAAAATTTTCAAAATCAAATTTCTAAAAATCTAAAGCCTTTGAATACTTGAAAATTTCACCACAAAAAGAAGAGCTCTCAAGCTTTAAAATGCTTTTTGAAAAATTCAAATCGGACGATTAGGTGAGCCGTGGTGATTGTTTAAACATTTTCGCAATTTTCACGCTTATAAACAATTGCAATAATTTAATGTTTTTTCAAATTTTTTTTTATTTTAAAATATGGTTTGAAAGTACTCGGAAAGGCGAGTATTTAAAAAAAAACCTGATGATCCGCCCATTATTTTCGGAGTTATAGCCCGTTAAAGTTAACCCTTATTTACAGCAAAACTATAAGGGCTGTTTTTTGAACCAATAGGTTTGTTATTCCGAGTACTTTCCAGATATAAATTTTCAAAATTTGCAATCACGGGCGTCCCATTTAAAATGTCACTCAAAGATATTCAAGACCGCGTGAAATCAATGAGGTATCAGTGGTGGGGGGAGCAAACACACAGCTACTCCGATCTGAATTCTCGAGTTCAAAATTGCGACACTCGGAAAAATTTCACTTATCTCAGCGTCTAATGGACCAATTTCGATGATTTTTTTTTAAATCGATGTCTCGCAACTAAAAAATTCAATTATCATATTTTCAACTACATTTTATTATTAATTATTGGACTTTTGACATGCCGATAAACAGTTACTTTAAAAAATGATTAATTTATTATGTTTATTTATTTACTATGTTAATTTTCACGACCAAAATTTTTGCATGTTGCACCATGTTGTTGGTATTAATTAAGTATCCAAAAGATTCTTATACTTTTTTTTATAAATAAAAAATAAATTTTAGATAAATATTTTAAAAGTAAACGAAAAAATTAAAATTATAATTATTCACAATTTATTTTTTTTTGAAAGATTTTTAGAAATTTATCGTACAACTAAAAATTAATACCAATTTTCAGTTGTTTATTTAAATAATTATTGTTTAAACAATTTTATAATATTTAAACAAACTTACTAGTATTACCTGGTGCAACATGCAAAAATTTTGGTCGTGAATATTAACATAGTAAATAAATAAACATAATAAATTAATCATTTTTTAAAGTAACTGTTTATCGGCATGTCAAAAGTCCAATAATTAATAATAAAAGGTAGTTGAAAATATGATAATTGAATTTTTTAAGTTGCGAGACATCGATTTAAAAAAAAATCATCGAAATTGGTCCATTAGAAGCTGAGATAAGTGAAATTTTTCCGAGCGTCGCAGTTTTGAACTCGAGAATTCAGATCGGAGTAGCTGTGTGTTTGCTCCCCCCACCACTGATACCTCATTGATTTCACGCGGTCTTGAATATCTTTGAGTGACATTTTAAATGGGACGCCCGTGATTGCAAATTTTGAAAATTTATATCTGGAAAGTACTCGGAATGACAAACCTATTAGTTCAAAAAACAGCCCTTATACCCTTATAGTTTTGCTGTAAATAAGGGTTAACTTTAACGGGCTATAACTCCGAAAATAATGGGCGGATCATCAGGTTTTTTTTTAAATACTCGTCTTTCCGAGTACTTTCAAACCATATTTTAAAATAAAAAAAAATTTAAAAAAACATTAAATTATTGCAATTGTTTATAAGCGTGAAAATTGCGAAAATGTTTAAACAATCACCACGGCTCACCTAATCGTCCGATTTGAATTTTTCAAAAAGCATTTTAAAGCTTGAGAGCTCTTCTTTTTGTGGTGAAATTTTCAAGTATTCAAAGGCTTTAGATTTTTAGAAATTTGATTTTGAAAATTTTTTAATTTAAAAAAAAAAAAAAAAATTAAACAATTATTATGTAAAAACTATCGAACCGAATTGGATGAAATTTGGTGTGATGATTCTATGCACTAAGAAGTTTAATTGGGAAAAGTATGAAGATCCTAGGTATTATTCAAGTGTCTGAAAAAAATTGACAAATATACTAGCATTTTTTGCAATTTTTTAAATGATTTTCCGCTTTTTGCAATAACAATAATTATTTTTTCGAATTGCTAACTATATCTTGATCAAAATTTAATTACAAAACTTTTTTTCCTCATCCATTTTTGTCTAAAATGAATAGTTGCTATGTTGTCGCCAAGAAATCCAAGAAAAAAATGAATTTTTTTGCTATTTTTTATACTTTTTTGCAATAAAAATTAAGTCCACGTTTTTTTTTATTTGCATAGAAAAATTATCATTTCTGATGTTATTTAGAAGCCGTTAAAGCAAAAATCTCCGATCATATGCGTTTTACCCAAGTATACCCTTTTTAAAACTGATACCGCCTGGACTATAAGTTTATAAATTCAGCAATGGAAGAGAATATTATTAAGTAGAATACGCTTGGACAGAATATTATTTTAATCTCGAAGTATTGACCTATTTCGCTTTCAAGTTTAAATTAAACCGCAATTACATATAGCACTGTATATAGTTGTAGTTTTTTCAACAAAGCTTAATTGGTTATTATATTACCAAAGCCATTTGTTTTGCTAAATATGATGCGCTAATCTTAAGGTTCATGGTCAAAGTTTGATACTTTACTGATACATTTTTGTAATAAGCCAAGCATCATTCATGTGACGTAACATGCGAGTACATTAAAAAACGAACTAAATTATTATACACACAGTATTTTTTACATAGTCTGGTGGTAAAAATTGTACTTAGAATACAGCATATCAAGTTTACTTACATTTAATTAATACTTTTATTGCTTTTCTGTATTTCTCATCATACATAAAATGGTATTAAAACAATATATTTTCTAAGTATACATTATGCTCTTACCTATTCTGGACTAGATTATATAAGCTTACTGTTACTAAATTATTAAATTTTCTAATGGTTTCGTCTTCTATATAATCTTCAATTATTTGCGTGTTAGAATTCTCTATCACTGAAAGCAGAGAGATAACATATAATTCCTTCATGAGGTATAGGTTGATTATCAAAGAAGGTAGATGGTGGTGAATTTTTAAATGTAACTCGTTTTTGACCCGTACCAGCCTCAAGGTTCTCTAACCATGCCATATTATCGTCGTTTGCTACCAAAATTTCTTCGTACACTTTCGAAGGCTAAAAAGGATAACGACGGTCAAAAGCAAAGCGGATGAAGAAATACACAACTGAATAGTGACAATATTTTGGGAATGAGAAATACTGTCCTACTTACCACTAAATCTCTAAGTGGTTCAAGATCACTTGGTGGCATCGAAATGAATGGTTCTCTAACTTTCTGGCATTGCAGCATTAACAATATGAACCACATGTACTCGTTCCTTAGTTCTTTGTCCTTATTGGTTTTGCCTAATTCTAACAACTTATCAAACCATGCCCTCATAACTTTGCGTTCTACAAACGGTATTTAGTTGTCATATTTTAACGATGATGATATCCGCTTACCATTTGGAGGAATCAGTTGCACTAATGCTTTGGCCAACATACTATTGTAGAAAAAGTTTTCGTCGAGTGGATTCAATAATTGAACCTGACTCATTTTCACTAAAATTTTAACATAAACTTTTGCCAAAATTTGAAAGTAATTAACTTGACAGTTGCCTACTTTTATAAGGACAAAAGTTTCGTAGTGCGTAGATCTCTATTGCAAGTGCTACTTATGAAAATTCACTATGTTAATCGATACTGTTCTGACTTGTATATACCAATTTTGGATATACAACCCGAGTATTACAACAGAACAGTTATTATTTGCATATACAGGGTGTCCGGAAAGGTCATGTCAAAAATGAAGAGATATACAGGGGAGCTCAAATTAGTTGTAGTACTTAATAAAAAATTTCTTCCTATCGGGCTTCGTTGTGGAGTTATTCGCCTTCGAAGAAAGAAGTTTGAAATCAAATTCCAATTATAACTTCTAAGTCGTTACCATGACAACAATGAAATTTAGGTAATTAAAGACACTCATGGTAATGTTCATTTCCAAGTTTAAACTCATATTTAATGTGCCTGGATTATACAGGAGCACATGAAATTATCCGTTTAAATTTATACGTTGCCAAATTTGGCATTTTTCTTTCATAGTTCGATTCCTCTCTCATTTTGCTAAACAAAGGTATACCACATATCAGTCGATATCTTGTACCGTTTTTGAGAAAATCGAATTTTATTATCAACATACGTGTATTGTATCAGAAATGCGATATTAAATTTTTGCAAAAATCTTGGAAATTAAGATGACTGTCAACAAATATGTATAATTGGCATGTAAGATATTTGTCGTAAATCATTTTGACACCATTTGTTAATTCAATATCATGGAGGATTTTAGCTGTGAAAAATTTGCAGATATTCATCTAATGTACGAACCTGCAGAATTTAATGCTTCTGAAGCTGTTCGGATTTACGGCAACAGCTTTCCAAATAGAATTTGCATATTTGAAGTGACCAAAACCCCCATGCTATTATTCAGACAAAACACTAACAAAAATTTGTCATTAATGGATGGGAATAATTGGAAACTACTTAGTGGGACCACATATCATTGATGACGCTTTAACTGGGGATAAATACCTATATTTACTGCAAGAACACCTTAATCCTTTATTGGAAGACGTCCCTGTAAATATTTGAAATAACATGTGGCTTATGCCCGATGGTGCACCACCCCATTTTAACAGGGCAGTAAGGGCTTATTTAATTACCACGTTTCCCGATCTATGGATCGGTCAAGGTAGTCATTTTCTGTGGCTGCCTCGGTCTCCCGATCCAAATCATCTCGATTTTTCTCTTTGGGGCCATCTTAAAGGTCTTGTTTATCAAACTCCTATGAATAGTAGGGAAGAATTATTAAATCGCATATTACATACGCCGAGATCATTAGAAATGATCACCACAAGTTATTTTGAGTACAGCAGAGGTGTTTGGGCAATTTCAGGAAATGCATTGAAGTTCAAGGTGCACATATTGAACATCTTACTTAACAGTTTTCTTTTTTCTTTTAATTCTATAGAAACCAAGATTTTTACAAAAAGATTAGTATCACATTTTTGATACAGTAAATATATGTTGATAAAAAAATTAGATTTTCTCAAAAACAGTACAAGATATCGACTGATATACGGTATATATATTTTTTAACAAAGTGACAGGGGAATCGAACTATGAAAGAGAATCAAATTTGGCAGCACTGTCAAAGATGTATAAATTTAAATGGATAATTTCCTCTCCTGTATAATCCAGGTATACTGAATATCAGTTTAAACTTGGAAATGAGCATTACCATGAGTTACATTAATTGCCCAAATTTCATTGTTGTCGTGGTAACGAGTTATAATTGAATTTGTTTTTGAAACTTCTTTCTTTGAAGGCGAATAACTACCACAACAAAGTCCGATAGGAAAAATTATTTCAGAAAGTACTACAACTATTATGAGTTCCCCTGTGCACCCCTTCAGTTTTGACATGACCTTTCCGGACACCCTGTAGTATATTATACATATTGATTCTAAGTCCAGGATGAAATACTTTATGCTAAGTACTTCTGCTTCTGAAGGTTATGGTTTTCTTCCCTTCTGAAGTTTACTACATGTGCTCAATAATAATTTTGAATCGAGACGTCACAATAAAATTAATGGTACAATCATATTTCTCTCTCTCTCTCTTAGATCTACGTCTGTCAACACAGATTTTGAATTTTTTTAATTCCTTCAATACAGGTTGATTCAGAACTTATCCAAAAAAAATTCTGGATGTACAGGGGACCCTTACAAATACAATTTTGTAAAGACAAAATCAAAAAGGGCAGATCGAAAATGATTTAAAAATACACTTCTGCACGGCACTGGAAACTGGTTCACTGTAAAACCTGACCTCGCACAATGCGACCGGCGACCGGTGATAAAAACGGACAAAAACGTACGCAAGGAAAGATATAAATATAATTTTATAGCGCCTATTTTATTTCGGCAAATTGAAATGCTTTTGCCTTTATTAATTAATAAAATTAATTTGTGTTTTTAAATAATAAAATCATTTGACATACCCGATGTTACAACAATTGATCAAAATTTTATCCACTAACGTGTAAACACATTTGGGTTCGTCTTACTCTCTACGATCTAACACAAATGATGTCTTGCTTCACCATAACACAAATGCTTCACCACAATACAAATGTTGTCTTGCTTCACCATAAATTAAAACGATATCCATCAACAACTCTGAGTTGCTATAAACGCAAACCATTTTTGACACTAACTACTAAAAAACTATTGTAAACACCACAGATAACAGGTAAACACTATCGCAACGACGGATTTCAGTATTCGGAATCGCTAAGGCCACGTGGCTCTCACGCGTATTGCAAATGACGCTAGAGACTACAGTTGTCCAGCTATGTAGTGGTTGAATGTACTATAACTTCAATAATTTTTTTCTCGGAAACTATAAGGATTTTACAAAAATTTTTTTACGATATTGACTGCATTTCTCATGCCGCATCTATTCCCAATTTTTATTTGGATAAGTTGTGAATCACCCTGTATTTTATTGCTCATTTGGAACATTTTTTGGGAAAAGGAACAACAAATTAAAAATCGATCATTTTTTATTGTTTATCCTTAGTATTTTCAAGGCTAAAATTAAATAATTAGGCACGTACATACCTACCTATTTATTGAGAACATCTTATTTTGAAGATACATAATCTATATTTTACTGGTATTGTAGGTATACGCATTCATGTAATTATTTTCATATTAATTTAATTAAACGTAAGAGGTTATTATTTATCCATTAGTTTTAGAATAATTCCCATATTACCTGTTCTAGGATTTACGTCAATAAATTTTAACACAGTTTTGAATTTGGGAAAACCCTAAATATATGTTTACATATTCATGTACCTACCTACATACTTAGTTAAAAACAATTTAACTTTATGTACCAACAACTTTACAATGTTTTCATTTTGCATTAGATAGCAATTAAATTGAAAATTTCAAACGCTACATACCGGGTACTTAAAATTATTAATTTTATGAAAAATATCTAGTGGATTTCCTGGATCACATCAATGGGATACACCCAGATATCCAGTTTGCCATGGAAGCAGAAAAAAATGCCGTCCTTCTCTTCTTGGATGTTTTGGTTGAGAGGAAACCAGGTGGCACTTTAGTATATCGGGTATATAGGAAGCCAACTCACACAGACAGATATCTGAATGCGGAATCCCACCACCACCCAGACCAGAAACAGGGGATCATCAGCGAGCCAAGACACTTGGCCGAAGAACTAGAACACTTACGCACGGCCCTGAAAGGGAATGGCTACATCGCGAGAAATATCGAACGAGCTAGCAGGAGGAGACATACACCCAGGGAGAAACGGGAGTACTTGGCGACGACATATCTACCTTACGTTAAAGGTTGTACTATGTACAGATAAAATCAGGCGTCTTTTGAAGAAAAGGAATATCAACACAGTATTCAGCACTGTAAAGAAGGTGGCGGCAGCGTTTCCAAAGACCTGCAACCACGACCAGGTCTCGGGCCCCGGGTGTATAGTATTTCTTGCTCTTGCGGAAAGGTCTACATAGGACAAACAGGAAGGCACATCAACACGAGGTTAAAGGAACACAAAAGTCACCTCAAAAATAACAACTGGGAAAAATCGGCAGTAGCAGAGCATAGAGCGGACACGGGACACACAGTGGATCCAAGTGAATCCAACATGGTGGTGAGAGAGAGAAGATTTTGGTCCCGACTAGACAGAGAAGCATTAGAAATTTACAAAAATCCAAACAATTTCAACAGAAACGGTGGCGTGGATCTGCCAGGTACATGAAGGAGAGTCATCCGTAACAGCAATCCACTGGAACGTCAACAACGCGTACGAAGTCACCCACCGCAACGTCATGGATCAGTGACCACATCAAATATAAATAGTGACAAGATTAATAGATCTCCAGTTTTAAAGTAACTTCTGAAGAAGAGAGCGATATGTCTCTCGAAACGTCAAGAGTTGTAAATCGACGATGTGACAACCAGCCCGGAAATCATTCAACCATTAACGACAGCCACGGAAGCCTACAAACAAAACAAAACGAGTATAAAATTCTGCATCCACTTTTCGATAGAATAGCTTTATCATGGTTTCTCGTATTTTGATGGTACGAAAATAGCCACTGATCTTGTTGAACTTAAGGTCTCTAAGTTTTCTTTTGATGGTCTTTTAATTGTCTTTGTAGCATCCTGGAAAATATCACATCTAGAACCATTTATTCAACGAGCATGAATCAAACTCTATTATGCATGTGATCCCTTAATTGACTAAATAGATATCTCGATCTAAAAAAATCTGACTTTCCTTGAAGAGAGTTGTAAAAAGTAAAATTTACTTTTTTTCTCCCACGATGTATCTAAGATATGAGAAATTGAAAAAGCAAGCTTTCAGCGACACACGTACTCGGATTTCTTCATAGTGTTGGTGAAAATTTTAAGAAGAGTATTCGGTTATATGCTCAGCAAAATGTTAGAC